AGCAGCGGCGGGGAGAGGGGAGGAGGGCAGAGTCGCCAAGCTAAGGGCGGCTGCAGCTCCTGACACCGAGGTGACTTCAGGTCCGAGCGTGGGGCGTTGCGTTAAAAGAAGACACCTTGCTGTGTTTGGGAGCCTGGGGAGAAAGGTGGGAGCAGAGGCTCAGGGGGCGATGCTGCTCGGACCCCATCACCGCCTTCAAACAGCGCGTGCGGCTCAGAGAGCGCCGCTGCCGTGACGGGCCGGCGAGCTGACCGCTTCACGGCCAAACCAAACCAAAAGCCAGTGCCACCAACCCACACCTTGAGGGGCCAAACGTAGGCTGAGAATACATGCGCTGACAGCTCGGCGTCCTGCAAACCCCACGCAGTTATTGCTGTGATCAACAGAGGCTATGGGGAGCACAGTTCAAAAACCAAGACAAAGTGGTAGGGTTCTGCCCAGTATCCAGCTGTTTCAACTCAACCCAAGATTACCTGTGAGCATATGCTTAGCCCCTGCAGAGATCTGCTTATCAAACCTGGGCGCTGCACAAACGGCCTGAGGCCCCGCAAAGACATTTATTTCTTAGGCACCAACTTTGTCTGCAGGCAGAACAGGGGCTGGGAACCGTCTCCCTCCTCTTCCACTTGGCATACTGCAGATTTTGGGGTTTGCAGCCACTAAATTGCTCCCAGTCCTCTCAAGACGAGACTTTTTTTTTTTTGTGCTTTGACAGTGTATTTTTTTAATAAACAAATAACCAAGAAGCGTTTAAAGCTTGCAGCTCTGGTGAGACGCTTTGCAAGCTTCCCCCTGACCTCGGACATATGGCCGGGCAACGTGCAGCAGCTTGTACTACCAGGTGCAGCCAGCACGGTACAAATGCTGCAGGACACAGGAGACAGGGCTATCCCTCCCTGTCAGAGGGCAGGACCGTGTCTGAGACCTGTAGCATATGAAGCACAGAACAGGACCCTGTCACCCCGAATGACAATACGGTAAATACAGACCCGCCAGGCAGCAGTTATCAGAAACAGATGCGCAAAAACGCAAGTTGCAAAATCACGGAACATGTGCTGCGAAACAGAGCCTAGAAACGCCAAGCGCTCGTTGGGTCTGTCTGATCGAAACCGCATGCACATTCGTCCAGGGACTTGCTCTCATCCAGCTGCTGATCAGACTGTCACGAGCAAGATGAATCTCCCAGCTCCAGGTCTTTGCAATTATGCAAGCACAGGGGGAGCAACGTTTCTGTGCACCGTAGCGGATTTACAGCCCGCTCCAGCCCTGTTCTGTCAGAATTAATACCCCCCAAAATATTTGCGTTAGAAACCCAAATGTTTACACAAACAGACACTTTGGAAACAGTTTCTAAGTGATGAGAACAACAGTTTTATAAGATCTGTCACGACTCACCTCATGAATTAGACATTTGTCTATGAGCTGTAAATAGGAACTTATATTCTCTTCATCGGGTCTGGAAACTAAAAGTTGTGTACATACTGGAAAAAAAGAAGAGAAGGATAAACAGAAATGGGGATAGTGTGAGCTGAGATCAGGGCTTCGGGGTTTTTAAAGAATGTTTCGGACATCCTATTTCATTTATCTGATAGATGTTCTCATCAACAGGTCATTTGTCTAGGAAAAACACCCTGTCCCGATTCCTGCCGTGCCGTTCTATATTTAGGGTCAGATTTTCTTCTCGGTTACGCTGGTGTAAATCCAGAGTAACACCATTTAAGTCATCCAAATTAGACACGAGCAAATCAGGAGCGCAGGATCTTGCCCCCCTTTCCCCTTTCCTGTTGTAATGTGCAAAGGGCGCTGTCAGCAGAAGACCGGGCCCTAAGATCTATCGCTCCTACGGCCAAAATTTGCCCCCGCTGAAAATGGATTCCTGCGGCTATTGATGACAGTGGGACTTTAGCCTCTTTTTGAATCACTGCCATAAAAGCAAATGCAAATGAATTCACAGAGGAAGGCCATGAGCGCTCAAGAGAAATTAGTCTCTCCTGCTCTCATAGCGGTGGCATTAGCTGCAGGAAGCTCCCCTCCCTTGCCGGGCAGGATTGCCTTCTCTGCACGACAGCTCCTCCTGACCTCAGCTCTTGTTCAGCTGAACGGATACGTCTCCCAGGGACGGCCCAGGAGAGCAGCTCGTTCTGACGAAACCTGTGCCACCCACCCCGCCTCCCTGCGTTTACGGAGGCATTTGTCACAGGCTCACAGACAGAACTGAATTCATCAGCGCGTTTAAAACGGGGCCATAGACCTGTGCTGGTCGGTGCATGCAGTCAGTTAGCTGGTGAGAAATCTTACACCAGTTTTTTATACAGAAAACAGCTTTTTCATGCAGTCTTATATAGAAAACAACTGTTCATATATGCTCTGCAGAAAGGGTCTGAAATGGGGACAGGACTGGTGTTTCGTCATGGCATTTTGACAAGTTTCCTTCTGTTCCAGGTCTCCCATCCAGCCTGCGCATGGACAGGCTCTCTTCACCAAGGAGATCTCCCTCCATGCAGAAAGCATCTACACCTCAGATCCCACCCAGTAGATTTAGGACGTGCCCAAACTAGCCCAAAATTGCCAGCACCACCCTGTAATACGGTATGTGAAGGTAGCCCCTACCTCCACATGCCTCCTTTTTACCTCCCAGAGGGGCACACGACACGATGCCAGCGGTTTAAGCCTGATGCAGAGCATTGCAACAGCACCCTACGACAGGCTGGGGACAGCAGCAGAACATTTTGGATGTCCTGTGTCTAAGCTGGGGCTTAAAAGGGGCCTCAGACTCATTTGATTTGTGCTCAGGGTGGCTCAGGTGCAGCCCACTCCCCCAGGCAAGCAGAGCAAGTTCAGGGCTGCCTGCCCCTCCCCAGGCCAAGCAGCCCACAGAGATGCAGCGAAGCACTAAACCATCTGGGCACCTCTGCTGTGAGGCCAGCAAAGCTCCTTCCCCACCTGCACGGTGAACGTTAGAAAAAGCCTCAGTCCACCCTCAACTTTTCCATCACTGGAAGGCCAAACCCCAGGTCTCCATCCTTTTGGCAGGAGCATGTGCAGAAGCAACTGCTCTGCAGGTGAATTCCTTCAAACCCAACCACTGGGCTATCAAAACACTCAAGGAAGTTTGGCAGCTCCTAGCAGACAACGGGCAGGCAGAGATGCTGGCTGTTGTTCAAAGCAAGTAGCGTTTCTAGAGTCTTTAGCCTTTCCCTCCAGCTACGGGCCAAAGCAGAGCCATCCCTGGGGAGTTACAGCGTGACAGCAGCGTTTAAAAGCCCTGCTCCAACCCTGCCTTCCAGCGCGCTCCCTGCCCTGGCTCCGTGGCATGCTGGAGGAAGGTGCAGAGCTGCAGCTTGCAGCCGTGCCAAGCCTGGGACCGCAGGTATGGTGCAATGGGAAAAGGCAGGTGTAACATGCGGAACACGTTTGCGCGAGCGTCCTCCTGGCCAAACGGGTGACAGCACAAAGAGGACAAGAGCCTTTGTGTGGGCCCTCTGCTCACACGACTCACCAGGATTCATGGGTCTGGGCAGCCCATGCAGAGGCCTTGCAGGGCTGAGTTATCTCCATCAAAATGACCCAAACCAGTTGGACTCGTGCAATGAACCTGCAGCTGCCACAGCGGACCTATGCTGAGGACATACTTGCGGACCAGCAGGATGTCTCCAGGGCTCCCCGCCGAACAGGGAGGGAGAGGAGAGGATGCTAATGTGCGTGCCATTTCCTCCTCCCTGGCTGCCCTTGCGGAAATCACCACCCACCTCTCCAGGCACGGTCTTACCTCTTGAAGGGTTTGCATAGCATGATGGGGCCTCAATACCACTGTTACAACTGCGGTTTGCAGGGGCACGTGGAAAGGCTGCTGTCAGTGCTGCCACCAAACATACCCTGCTCTGATCCAGTTATTCCTAGCAAGGACACTAATAAAAAGTCACCGTCACTCACCTTTCCCCATCACTCTTGTGAACTGTCCAGGCAGATCGCCTTCAGGCAAAGGGCCCCCTCCTGACTCGCCCTCACATCCTGGCAAATGGTGCTGTTGCATCCCGCCTGCAGCAGAGTCCTTGCAGTCAGACCCTTGGCTGTCTGAGCCGATGAGCGAAGAGGGGTGATGCGAGTCTGGGTCCCGGCTGTGCTCATCCACGTTCGAGTTTTGGGAAGAGTAAGCTTTGATGGGGGTGAGGATCATTTGGTGTAGTTCCTGCAGCGGGACACGTAAGTTGCCGCCTTCCAGGATGTCCTGCAGATTCAAGTTAACAGAAGAGGACTTGTAGTGATACCTCTGCAGTAACAGCAGAACACCAGCTATGAACCAGGCCAGCACCA